AGTCATGTGGCATCATCACTTTTTCACCAGGTAATTTTAATAGAGAGATTCAGAGTCTGTTCAATCCTCATGAAAATAGTGTCAACTACAAGGTGCTTTGTAGGCCTTTATGACCTAGCTTTTATTCTTCCATAGAGAGCAGTAACAGTGGATAAAATTCCAAGAGCTGTGACTGTATGATGAAAGCTCATGACGTTGACTGTAAAGCCAACCTGCTCCTTGGAATAGATTGTGCCCTTTGTACATAAAACATTTCCATTGCTTTCAACACAGAGACTTCCTCCTACAGAATATCTTAAATTTGAATGCTTACACTTGCTAAGAATCTGCGTTTAGCTGTCATTTTCTGGGTTCAATTTCCCATTCGATGTTCACTGGCTTGTTTTCAAGTCACTCGTACCCTGGATTGTAGAATAAAGACAACAGGAAACAGCCTTCCACAGAGGCAACCCTAACTCAGTGGTTTGGCAATTGTTAAGTGTTTATAACACTTCCAAACATACCTTTGGCCCAACAAGCTAGTATTTAATTAAACCCTTTTGTACTGTGCTGTTGGTACTTTTCTCTCTGTTCATGAAGTGGTGAAGCAAATATATTTATATATAAATCATTTTATTAGGGGCTCATACAACTCTTATCACAATCCATACCTACATCAATTGTGTAAAGCATATTTGTACATTCATTGCCCTCATCATTCTCAAAATATTTGCTCTCCACCTAAGCCCCTGGCATCAGCTCCTCATTTTTCCCCTCCCTCCCTCATGAACCCTTGATAATTTATAAATCATTATTTTGTCATATCTTGCACTGTCTGATGTCTCCCTTCACCCACTTTTCTGTTGTCCGTCCCCCAGGGAGGAGGTTATATGTAGAGGGAGCAAAACTATATTTTAAAGGGAAATAAATGTTTTAAATTATGACATGATCCTGTTTGATACTCGCCTTCATGAAGTAATCACTGGAGACATGGCTCTACAGCACATGTAGGGAAGAGAGCAGATGGTGCCCAGCTAACAATCGGAATAGTGTCTGAGGTCTTAAAGGCTTGTATTCAAACAAATAACCATCTAAGTGAGGTGTCAATTAAGTCCACGTGGAAGAAGCACTAGCCTGTATGATCCGAAGATGATGATAACAAAATCCAAATATGATTAAGGAAAGGTTTCAGAACGTAAAAAGTGAGCACGACATTTATAGAAGGCTACGGAGGACAGTGGGAAATCAACCTCCCCCTCTGTGGCAGATCCCCTCTGGCCACAGTCCAGGGACTTGGACAGCTTTAATAACAGACAGATTATTGTAAACTTGATTGCAGTGGATGGCACTACAGTCTAATATAATACCTGATCAGTTGCCCTCCCTCTTGACCCAACCTGAATTTGTTCTGATTTTAACTATATTTTCTTTGTTCCAGAACAGAAATGCTGTCTCTTGCTTATCTTAATATTGCTGGTGGTCTCTTCTTTCTCCATTTAGTTTTCTAGTTTTTTTTATGTTTCTGTTATGTTTCTCAGTTTGTGAAGCACAGAAAGAGAGGATACAGAGAAACAATCTCTTATTGGGGATGGGATGGTTGGGCTGGTGAGGGAAACTGAGGAGCAAATAATGAACATGGGAAGGTGCACCAGGACTGATTGTGATGGTGTATATACAACTCTTTTTAAAAAGCAACTTAACTATGGAAATAGATATGTGAATTTTATTTTTGTTTTTTATTACAGTAATCATTTAATTGGGAGGGGCTCTTAAAAATCTTGTAACAATCCATCATTCAATTGTATTAAACCTTCCTCCACATCTGTTGCCATCAAAATGCCAGAACATTTTCTTTCTACTTGAGCCCTTGCTATCAGTTCCTCCTTTTTCCCTCCCTATTCCACCCTCCCGCCCTCATGAATGCTTGATCAAATACATATTATTGTTGTTATTTTTGTATCTTATACTGCCCGTGGATATGTGAATTTTAAATCAATAAAACTATTGGGGGGTAGGACTTAATGACGCCATTAGCTAAAAACCTTCCTTTCAATTGTCAAACGTATAAGGAGCCAGGGTAATGCTAATAGATTTGTTTCACCAGATTAAAAAATTAAATAGACTTGATGTATGATACGTATCAAATAGCATTAAAACCAAAAAATTCATATAGCTATAGTGAAACTCTAACAGAAAATTTATCTGGACAATTACCAGGGGTGCTATGAATCCAGTGGTGAATGGCCCACAAGTTTGGAAGACCATTGGCATTCCCCAAAGTGGGGGAAATATTTTCATTAATACAAAAAGATGGAATTGAATATTCATAATTTGACAAGAGAACTAAAACCTAAATATTATGTTACTGTTTCATTCTCTTGTTTTCCTCTCATCTTCATGACAATAAAATGGATGTGTGGTGACAGTAAACTAAAGGGGAAAATGTCAGTGAGGAAAAATAGATATTTAATTTTCCTAATCCTCAACTCCCCCAGCAACAGGACACATGTAGCCACTGTTGTGAGGACAGACCTCTGCAAGAACACTGCGCATCTTGTGAGCACACCGAGGCAAAGATGAGGGAGAGAGGGCTTGTTCTCCACAGAGAAAAGAGGAGCGATGGAGGGATATAGTAAGGTAGAAGAAAGTGAAAGAGCTGACCTGCAGGACCTGCCTGGCTAATAGCTGAAAAGGAAATGTTGGTGGAGAACAGAGCCATCCTCGGAGAGCTTTGTAGAGATCAATATAAAGTCCCTCCACCATTTCCTAGGGAAAGCAAACACACACACACACACACACACACACACACAAAGTTGGCCATCAAGTTGGCCCCACGTGTGCCAGAGTAAAGCTATGCTCCACAGCATTTTCTTTTCTTTTTCTTTTTTCACTTTTTAGGGTGAGGTGTTGCAGAACAAACTGGTTTCCCGTGCAACAATTCATACCATTGTGTTTTGTCTCCCTGATTGCAGTTCCCAGAACATAATATCACTTATCCCACTTCCTTCTAGGGTTCCTGTTTCCATTTCTCTTACTTCCGCAACCCTCCTAAACTATGTCTTTGGGAAATGTTACGCTTTTGATCTCAATTGGTTGAGTATTCAAAAAAATCACATACCTCCCCCAGTATTATTGTTTGTTTCATAGATCTGTCTATGGCTTGGCCGAAAACATGGGCTGAGTGTTGTCCCAGACCTGGAGAGAGACTAGGGGTCATAGTGTCAGGGATTCTACCAGTCTCTAGCTGACCAGATAGCCTAGTCTTTTATCATGATTTTGAATTTTGCTGCATATTTTCCCCCCACTCTATCAAGGATTTTCTGATGTGATCCTTTTCAGAGCAGTTAGAGTGGTATCTGGACTCATGGAGCCTCACGGCCCACTAGACTAATTAATTTCAGGCATCTTCAATCTTCTTTCGTTGGAAGAGGAGAGGTCAATAGTTCTACCTTAGATGGTCACTCACAAGCTTTCAAGACCCTAGTCACTACTCCCTTAAATAGGAAGTAGAACATTAGCTTTATGGACTATTATTCCCATTGAGATTGGGGTCTCTCTAGACTATCACCCTGATTCATAAGTTTTCAGTGGCTGATTTTTCAGGAGTAAATCATCCGGTCCTTCTTCCAAGGCACCTTTGGGGAAAGGGGTCAACTCAACCTGCAGCCTTTTTGTTAGAATCCAAGCATGTTCTCTGATTGTTACGCCCAAGATGCTACCTCCTACAAATCTACATGGCTTGGCGGACAGATTTCCTGCTGGAGAGCTATGAGAAGATCCAGGTCTGCTATAGAGGAGAATGAGAACTAATTGAGGCCACGAGGCCACGTAACCAGAATTTTACTGGCTTGATTTTTAGAGGTCTGCTCAACAGGGGGGCAGTAGCTTTTCAAACCGGACCTATTCCAAATCTTTACTGAATGATAATAGCTGGCACGAACCCAAGGAGTACCATCTTAGGTTGCATAGAGGCTCATTCTTGATTCGTGACAGGCCTATCAAAAACTATTAAGCATCAAGAGTTCCAAACTCAAAAGTCATCGGGACACCAAGAATGCCCAAAAATGGAAACAGCTATTCCGTGTAAGATAATAAGTCATCTCAAGCCTTGTTAGACACTGGAGATTCCAGACCATCCCCAAGAGTTTCTTAGGGGGAAGAGGTGGTGAGCAAAACAAATGTCTGTACATGGGATTGAAGACCGCTCTCTACTGGACTCAACTAAAGGTGATCACAGTTACGTACTCTTGTGAACAGCTGACCCAAGGCCAGAATCCAGGTATCTTAAGCTCAACTTCTTCCCAAAGCCATCTTTGTCAGTAATCATCATATATCACCTAAATAAAATTAAAATGTCATAAATCAATCCTTTCAAAACATTCTGTATGCTAAAAATGGGGTATCTTTTAATAGACCATCCATAAATGATGTACGCAAAAATATTTTTTCTCATGGGTCAAATCAGTTTTCAGAAGTTTTAGCTATAAATAATTATCTTCCAGTAAAAGCTGTCAGCGGGAGGGGACGAGAGTGAAGAAAATAAAATGAATCAGAAGTCTTGGCAATCATGACAAGTTTCCTCTGCAGAGTTTCTTGCTAGATTATTACCCCAAATCAGGGCCAAACCACACCAGGCCAGAAGCATCCACACTAAAAAGCAGGGATTAAAGGTGCTCCAGAACTTCCTAAAAGTAGGAATTAGTTTGCACTGTATGTTCTTGACATCCCGGAATGTTCCATAATGACTTCAACCTGACTTTAAATCAACCACACAGTTGACATTGTTGATTTCAACTCATAGACATCCAAATGTATCAGAGTCATTCTGTGGTCCAAAGGGTTTTCGATGGTTGCTTTTGGGAAATAGGTTAATTGAACGCATGAAGTGTTTGTACCACCCAAAGACCTTGGAGGTCTGGAAAATGCAGACCTTGAGGACTATTGTGTGTTAATCACTTCTCAGGTCACTATACTTTGTGAAACTGAGGTGGTAAAAAGAAAGACTTTAAATAAATCCTTACCTGTAGCTGCTGGTCTAGTTCTGGAAAGGCCGGAGGAATGGTGTCTTCAGCAGGCGCATCATCTAAAATGAAAAGAAAATAACTCTTCACTGGGGAGACCTTCCTCTCATGACAATTGTCCTGCTGTCCCTATCCTTGGACTCTCATAACTAGATACTCAATTTATCATTTCAGTCATTTTTATCACTTCAGTTGAGGATAGAGAGAAGGGAGAGGACATTATGTTTCATTTTCAGTACAATGAGAAACATGGCGAGCTTACTCAACCTGCAAATAAATGTCAAAGTCCTCAAATGTTTAGTCTGATAGCTCTCTAGTGAGAGGGACTACTTGTCTTTCAGTATTCCTACTTCAGCCAAAACAAAAGAATATGGTATGCAGAAAAGTGCTTTAACAAGGTGCTAATGTGGCGACCCAAACAAGCTCAATGGGACAGAAACATCATATGAGTGAAAAAAATCAAACTGTTAGTCCTATTCTAAATGACTTCAAGCATGGGAAGCTTTGGTGGTTTTGCTCTCTGATCTTACCACAAACCGACACCAATAGGCAAGAAACCAGAGCCTCATTCCCTATTGGAAAGGGTAGCAGGCAACGACTCTGAAGGTATCAGGCAGCATTTCCAACCACAGGCAGAATCCATAGCCCTTTGCCACTCTGTTCCTCAGCCACTATTACTGAGGCCTCTTGAGTAAGAAAATTGACCAGCAGTACAAAAGTGTTTGTTGTCGGATCAAAAATACATTTCTCAGAAGCATCAGATGAAGCCTCAGAGAAGTCCATGTCACGCTCATAGCTCTTCTAGAGCACGCCACTAGCCCAGCTCTGGTGCCAGATAGCAGCCCCTTGCCTTCAGAATCCCTATCCCTCTAGGCCGAATATGACTCTGAAAAGTTCCAGGTACATCCATTTCTAGTCTCGCTTTGTCCAGTACATATGACTCTAGCTAATAAGACTAAAATACAAGCTAAAAGAATATTTTTTAAAATATATTTTATATTTTAATAAATAAAGAGGAGATCATGAGGTTCGTCTTCTCACCACCATAATCACATTCATTTGTAAAAGCTAATTGGTAAAATCATAAAAGAGACCATGCTAACTGTTAGACAGAGACAGGTGAGACCCCTGAGACAGTGGCCCTTAATTAGTCACCCTGCAGGTCTGGAAATAAAGTCACCTCTGTGACAGAAGAATTAACCACTCAAGAACAGAAGGGCAATCTGTAGTCAATGACAGAGTTGGCAGGGTCAGGAAAGAAGGCAGAAGGGAAACCCAAACACAGGGAGACAGCGGCATGAGCGATGGCATTGATGAGATGGCAATGGATGTGTCAAGACAACATGTGTATGAATTGTTGAATGTAAGCCTGATGGTCTTCCCTTGAAACCCTCCACCGAGTCGTAATGAAACATCTTAAAACAAACAAACAGCTAACTGAACTAGAGGAAGGGAAACAGACCATACCTAATGCGGAAACAAGTACCTCCTTTCTGCCACAACTTGCTAATAAAATACAATAAGCAAGGGGCTCTTGGCTTCTTAGTGATTGCATTTCTTTGGAGACAATGATAATCACCAGACAGGTCATTCAGATGAAGACAGTATTAACCTTAGCCAAACAGCTCAAGAGCTACAACACGTAGTAACCCTGGGTATATTTTACCCAAACTAATATAATAATGTTCTCATCTAAAAGTAGCTGAAGAAAATGACAACACATCACCAAATCTGAATCCATTGCCTACTTGTACTTGTGCCAGAGAGTGTCTGCTGCCACTGTTTATTTAGTGTCCCAGGGAAAGCAGGGCAGAAATCTTTCACAGGCTGGAGAATCGCCTTGGGAGCAAACTCAAGCTGCAATCCACAGGGCCTCTCAATGCACTCTTCCTACCCAGACTGTTGTTGATGGTGTCAGGTGTTCTCAGCACCTTCTGGCCCAAAGCTACTCCGTGTGGCAGAGCAGCACAGGCCCATAGGTTTCCTGGCCTGAAATCTTCATGGAAGCAGATTCCCAAGTCTGTCTCCTGTAGAGTCGATGGTGGGTTTGAATTGCCGAAACCTTTATGGTTGGCAACTGTGCACTCAACCATCACGCTACCAAGGATCCTCAGAAGAGGTGAGTAATTCTGTCAATTACTGTAGTTGTAAAATCCACAGTCATTTAATTAGCCACAGTCAAGGACTGGATTAGAGACAGATAGATTCAATTGGCACCATTGATCCTAAAACCGGCTTTTGTCTGGGGCACTTTTAATTTGCTTCAGTATCATTTTAATAATCTAGACATCAGGATTATTTTAGCTCAGGGGGTTCCAGGCCCGATTGATTTGGCACAGGCATCCCAATCCTAGCAATTATAAGTGAACAGACACTTTGGAAAGAGAAATCATTTCTGCAACGTACTGCAGTAAACTGAGCATTTTAGACATCTCGGCGACAGCCAGCAATGGAACTCAAGATTTCCGGAGACTTAATCCCTCCAGCTCCCTAGGAAGTCACGCTTCTTCCGCCTTACTAGTAGGAAAGAAACGTAACCCTTGGTTGTTGGTGGTTTTTTTGGGGGGTGGGGGGACTTGTTTGTTTGGGTGGTGTTTTGTTGTTGTTGCTGTTGTTATTTTTGCTTTTTTACCATAGTACTAGCTACTCTATCTTAATAGTAAATATACCTGGTATGATTGAGCATTAATAAGGCCCATTCTAGAAATCTAGATAATGATGTGTCATCACAGCCTATGGTGGTGGTGTTTTTAATTGCTGTCCGTTTGATTCCTACTCCGGGTGGCCCCATGTGTGCAGAGCCGAAGTGCTCCATAGGGTTCAAGGCTGCTGTCCTTCAGAAGCAAGCAGATCACCACGGGGAGCACAGGTTCCCCAACTTATTTGACCTCTTTCATCCTTGTCAGAAAAAACAAAACAAAAAAATTACTTAGCACCCCAACACTGACCATTGAAATTTTTCGTATTATAGCCCATAATCCAGGATGAAGGGTAGGTATCTACTTTTGCAGACCCCTGCATCATTACAGCACCTCCCAAGGGGAGGTAGGGCCCATTTGGGGTAACCCTGATCTGGAGGCACAGACATGTGACCCCAGACCAATATTTTTTTTTGCAGATAAATAAAGCCTTTGGACAGGATTCCTTGAGCTAAAATGAAAGTATAATTTATTAACATAGAAATGTAACATGTGTGGGGTGATTTAGAGAGACAGCAAAATAAAAGTAAGACTTTTGTCAAAGCAGGGATCAAGTGGGATTAACTCAAGCAGGAAATGGCAGTGGAAACAAGGAAACCAAAGGCAGATGTCAGGAGACGAGCAAGTCTGAGAGCCAGCCCTGTAGTTCACGCCTTGATGCCATCTGGTTTCGCTGGCATCCCAGCCAGCCAGAAATCGCAGGGCTTGCGAAGCTGCTTACAAAGCTACCCGAAGTTGATGCGTGGTGTGTTTACTCTTAAACAGTGGCTGCCTTCTTTGACTGGTTTTAAAAATAGGCAAGTATTCTAAAAGCAGAATGATGAATCACAGGATTGGGCCAAAAAGAAAGAAGGAAACTGACCCAGGCAGCGTAGCAGCCCAGCTGTTCCATGGGCGTTTGGCATTATCGTTGTAAAACATTTTGACCGTGATCCTGGAGCAGAGTTCCTGAGAGGACGTTGTTTGTTTTGACAATTCCAGAGGCACAAAGCAAAGTACAGTAGCTATGCAAAAGACCCCCTGGCAAATTTAGCTTTGGGGAAAAAGAGAACAATTGGTAGCTATGTTTGTAGTGTGACAAAAATCACGATGCAAGTACATTTTTACGAAAATTATTTTATTTTATTTTTTAATTATTTTATTGGGGCTCGTACAATTCTCATCACAATCCATACATACATCCATAAATTATTTTATCTACTGTTTACTGAATACTTATGATGTGCAAGGCAGGAACTAAGAAACTATACTAAAATGGCAAATCATTTTATCTTATTTTTTAATGCATCCAATAAGTAATCTGTGAGCTTCCTTCTCAAAATGGCATTGTGGATTTAATGGAGAACGCAAAAGTTACTAAGTAAATAAACATTCTAAAATTTTGGTGAATGGTGAAATATAAAGGAATGAATAAAGAGGAAAAATTTTAATGAGCAGATGTTCACTGCCTGTTCTGCAAACATAAAGTGACTCAGTCAATGGGACTTAAAAATAGAGCTTTCCTATTCATATCCCGACATTATGACATACCATAGTACATTTTCAGATGGGCTTGTCTCAGCATCGATTCTGCAGCTGTTGGGTTGCTTTTGCGGCTATTCTGTTTTCGGGTTTCCTTAAATTGCCTCCACTGTCTTGCTCCATGAATCACAGAAGTGGGACACATTAGGTCTTCAAGGCAAACCCTCACTGCTGTTTAGCGATGCGATATATATCCGGTGAGAGCGGTTGAAGAACGGTGAAGCTGGAAAGGGCTAGTCGACCCTCTACTCCAGTCCCCTCAGACTAGAGCCAAAGGCAGGACTCTGAGAGCAGAACGAGGCCACCCAATAGATCACGTAAGATTAAGGAGTCAGGTCTTGTGTGTCACCTCCTCCCACCACACGACTCTGTTCTTCTTTACCTTGCATACGTGAATTTCTATGTTTACATTTTTCCAGAAAATCATGGGAATCATGTCTCGTAATGTCCAACTTCTTATTTGACCAGTGAAAATTACTTTTAGTTTATTTTATTTTTGAATGACCAGAAGATTCTTTATTGCTTTCTCAGCAATGCCCTAGGGCACGATGGCAGAAACCACGTTAACACCTAAAGGAAAGTGGGCAGAATGCTTCCTGGAGGGCTGCATCAAGGCTCGCCTGCCATCAGCAACAGAAATGCGGAGGAAAGTCTCACACTTGGACAGTCAATTCCGGAGCCAACGCTTTAAAGGGCTATTTCCCGAGTACAATTCAAGTTGGATTTAGATATTGACAGACTTTTGCTTAGACTTTTGTTAATTAGCAATTCAGGAAGAAAGTACACCATATTGAATACAAACCAAAAAAATTGAATAGGATAAGTCTTTCCTTTAAGAATCA